ACCTCCCCAAAGATATCCACATCCCAATCCCTGGGACCTGTAAATGTTACCTTAGTTTTGCAAAAAGAGTCCTTCTAGGTCTGATTAGGGTCTTGACATGAGGAGATTATCCTAGATTATCTGAGGGTCCCTGAATGCCATCACAAAGTGTCCTTATGTGAGAGAGACAGAGGGAGATAACACAGACAGAAGAGGAGGAGACCATGTGACCAGGGAGGCAGAGATTGGAGTGATGTGGCTACATGGCAAGGAATGCCAGCGGCCATCATGAGCTGGAAGAGCCAGGAACAGATTCTCCCCAAGAGCCTCTGGAGGGAGCGTGGCCCTGCTGACACTTTGACTCATTGCCAAGTCCCCAGCGTCTAGGGTGTTAGTGTCTAGCAGATGGTAGGTGTGAAATATAAATTTTTTAATGAGTCAATGAATAAATAAATGAACACTCAGTGTGCTTTGTTCGTACCTCTGCTTTAGTAGTTTTCACACGGTAAGATAGTTAGGGGTGTGTGTGCGCCCACACACGCCCACACACCCTGATCGCTTGTGAGCTTTTTAGAGTAAGAATGATGCGTCTTATTCCTCATTACTTCTGTGTACCTCATAGAGTGCCTGCAACTCATTGTTCTCCATTGACTTTTAGTTGAATAAATGATTTCACTTGAGCCTCTAATCTTTTCTCTTCTGAAAACTGAGTGACTTAAATTCATTTGTGAGTCTTTTCTGAAATCATCCATAATATTAAAATATTAAACAAAAATGACTGTTTTGTAGGGGCTGGCCCTGTGTCCTAGTGGTTAAGTTTGACATGCTCTACTTCAGTGGCCCAGGTTCATGGGTTTGGATCCCTGGCACAGACCTACATCACTTGTCAGCCATGCTGTGGCAGTGACCCACATACAAAATAGAGGAAGAATGGCACAGATGTTAGCTCAGCGACAATCTTCCTTAAAAAAAGAACAAACCTATTTTGTAATATTTTGAAGAAAGAAATTTACTTTTATAATGAGACATTTTTTGAATCTTAGTTGCACTGGTAATACATGAAACTGTCCTCCTTTAAAAAATTAGGATACTAGTTAAAGTTGAGTTCCCTTTGATCAACATCCAAGCCTGGTTCTCTCTCTCTTCCCCAGAAATAGCCATTGTTAAAACTTTAGTATGTATCCCTCCAGATCTCTTGTTTATACTTTTGTATGAAGTCCATGTATTCATAGAAAAAATACTACCATTTTGTGGCAGTGTTTTTTATATAAATGGCGTCTTTTGGGTATGTGACATTTCGAAGTTTGCTTCTTCACTCATCTCTTTGGGATCTGACAATGTTGATACGCATGGGTCTAGGACACTCCTTTTGCCTTCTGGGTAGTATTCCGCTGTGTGGAATGTGCCACATTTGTCCATCTACGTAGATAAATTTTCAACAGCATTTACGTTGCTTCCATTATTTTGTTATTGGGAATGATGCTCCAGTAACATCCTTGAGCATGTCTCCTTGGGGCCCGTGCAAGAGTCTGCACAGGTTGTATTCCCAGAATTGTTCTTGCTGGGCTTGGAAATGCCTCACATTGCCACCAGCGTGATGTCATTGTTTTCATTTTATTTCTCCAAATATTATTGAGGTTGAACATTCTTTGTTTATTGATTGTTTACATTTCCTGTCCATTTATTGCCTTTGCCTTTTGGGTTTTTTCTTTTCTTGAAATATTGGTCTATTGCGTGTATTGTGAATATTTTCTCCATGTATCTTTTTGTTTTAACTTTTTTTTAAGGGTACTTTTGACAGATAGAACTTCTGGATTTTGATGTAGTCAAATATGTCAATATTTTTCCTTTATGACTTCTGCTTTTGCATTTTTAAGAAAGGATTTTTCCACCTGCAAGATCATAGAGATATTCTTCTGTATTTTCTTCTAGTAATTTCAAAGTATTTTAAAAACATCTTTAGGCTGTTAATATATCTACCATTGACTTTTATGTATTATATGAAATAGAGGCCGAAATTAACTTTTTCCTATATGGTTAGCCAGCACTACTTATTGTATAATTTATTCTTTCCCCACCAATTTGAAGTGCCATCTTTAACATATATCAATGCTTCGTAATTGCCTGGCCATTTCTAGATTCCATTCTGTTCTATTCCTACTCTGATAACTTATTATTTTAATAACTATGGCTTTATAATATGTCTTAAGATTCATTAGGAAATTTGGCCCATTCTTTGTTCTTATTTCTTAAAATTTTGTTGACTATTGCTTCATATTTACTCTTTTAGAATCAGTTTATTTCATTTCAAAAAAAATCTTATTGGGATTTTCAGTCAATATTTAAAATAAATGTTAAAAACCACCAGATTGTATACTATTATTAATTCCTAAAGCCTTCATGATGTATTATTTAGCTTTCCCTATGTATTATTGCTGTTAGACAAAGAGCAGGGCAGATCCAGGTCTTGTGGCTCCTGAAGTCTGTACCATTTGGGAGCCCTCTTTAAGAAAAAGCATGCCAAATTATGAGTGCCGTGGGAGGTGCTGTGCCTTGGGGGGGCCTGTACTGGGGAGGTGCTGGAAGCTCCAGCTTTATCAGCTTCCTGGTGAACCCACCTCAGATCAGCAGTCTCCCTTGGAGAGAGAGTCCTAGCAAATTGTGCCTTCACTCCCTCTAGAATAAACTACTAGTTCATGACTTCTAAGCTACTTAGGTAGTGTAAGCAATAAAATAACAATTAAATTTGCAACCTCAGTTGTGTTTTTAGTTGTGTGTTATATAATACCACTGCCTCAACTTTTCCCTGGGATGGCACCTCACGTCTGAGGATCTCAGGGCACATTATGAACATTAACTAATTAAACCTCACAAAACCCCAGAGACACAGGGAGGAGAGAGCGAGCATCACCTCGCCCAGTTCTGAAATGCAGCCACCTCTGGGGACGAGCATGGCAGCTGCTTAATAATAATCTGCAACACCCATGACAGTTTAGCCAAGACAATTAGTCATGGTAGTTGGTAATTGTCTCATGAACATTAGGCTGTCAAAGAGTGAAGTCACCAGGATTATTAGTTCATTGCAAATCTAATTCATTCTTTAAGATTCTTCACTTTTTAGCAATTTTGTCCTAATTGTAAAAGAAACACATGCACAGGGAAGGTCTAGTTTCTTTTTAGTTGTGTTCTTTTGTAGTTCTCCAAATTTAAAGCTTAAAATAGGAGACAACTATCTTTTAAAAAAATAAAGTACAACTTAAGAATAAGGAGTTATGTGGGTTTTTTAGTTGAAAAAGTTTGCTGATGAGCAAAACAAATAAATGATGGTAGAAATCAGAAGAACAGCTACATTTAAGACATGTGTTGCTAGTCAAGAGGATGAGGGAAACTTCTGGGTGCTGGAAACGCTTTCAATATTCATCTAGGTGGTGGTTATGTGGGAGTAGATATCTGTAGAAATTCACGCACTTTACTGTGTGTTATATCTCAATAACAAAGTAAATTAACCTAAAAAGCACACTGCTCTTGTCCTCTTGAGATGCTGGAAACCCTGTCTAGACTATCTGGAATGTTTTGCAAGGAGCAGGATGCATTCAGGAACTAGAGACGTGATATATTTTATTCCTCCCAAAGCGTCTTTCTCCAGAAGGGGCGTTCCAAGTCCTTTGCTTGTCTCTCCTGACATTTTCTCTCTATGGCGGGCTACCCGTCATGCTGGGATGCGGTTCTCTTTCCTTGTACCTTCAACATTATGAACCTCCTCATCTGTGCCCTTTACACCTCCTTGGGTATCTAATTTTTCTCTTAGAATTTCATTCTATTTCATTCACCTACATCTTTTCCAGGAGCAGATATAGGGCATGAATGATCCAGGGATATGAATGGAGAGGAATCTGCAGGAGCCATTGCCCTGGCTGGTGCTGGAACAGCACAGTAGGAGGAGAGGAAGCCGAGGGCATCTAGGCTGCCTCTGGCCCACAGCATCTGATGTGACAGTTACAAACATAAGACGGAGTGGCAGGCCCATGCTGGCAGCAGTGTCTTGGAGCCTCCAGCAGACCCAGGGTCCCTCCTGCATCTGCGGCAGCCTCCAAGGAGGAGCAGCCCCTGAGCAGAGCGTGCTAGGCTGCTCTGAGCTAAGGCCCAAAGACTGTGAGCAGATCAGGCTGAGAGGCCCCCAGCAGAGCAGGCACAGAGTGAGCCAGAAGGGAGGAAGTCGGGGCGGGGAGAGATGAAGAGGGGAGAGAAAGAAAGGGGAAGGGAGAGAGGGGGTGAGAGACATAGGAAGAAAGAAAAGAAAAGAAGGCAGAAGGAGGAGGATGAGAAGGAGGAGGGGAAAAAGAGCTCTTTAGGCAATAGGAAACTTTTTTCCTACTGTAATTTTTAGTCAAGCTTAAATACTTGAGCACTACTCTGCTTGTTGATTTTCCAGGATATATTAAAGCAGCTGAGCTCTGCTCCAGTTCTTCTCACTTAGACAGTAGAAAAGTGAAAATAGTGGCCACTGTCAGACCGTGTGTTCACAGCATTTTCAAGAAAGGGAAGGCAGCGCTGGTGCTGATCTTAGGCTTTCACGTGGCACTGACAGAGCTAACTGTGGCTTTTCCACATTCTGTCTTAAAATTTCAAAGCCTGGCATCCGGCAAGTTGACAGTCAGTTGTCTGTAAACGTCAAAGGGGGCTCCTCTGACAGGATCACAAAGCTCAGTAGCCTGCAGAGGTTGAGGGCGGCCTGGGGGCCAGGCCAGGCCCAAGCCCATGGCTGGCATCACTTTATCTCCACGACACTGGTAGGGGCGGGTACATTCAATCTCCATCATGTGGGCGAGGGCACAGAGAGGTCAGAATTGGCGTGGGCTGCAAAGACCCTGTTCTTCCCACCTCATGGTACTGCCCTCGGCAATATAATTCTTTAGGTATGCTGCAGTTTAGAAACACATTACTGTGCTGTCTCCAATTTCTGTGGCTCTGCAGATAATTATCATTTATTTTCTGTCCTTGTGCCACTCTTTTTCTCAAAGATGCTGAGCTCAGGAGTAGCAGCCAGAGTTCCCAGAAAATAGTCGAGGAGCTACAGGAACCTGTCTCTCCAGAGGCCATGGAAAGAGTCCAGGTAATGGAGACCATTCACTCAGGCCTGGGGCCTGGGGGCGGGGGCTGGGAGCTGCTTGTGCCATCAGGGTCAGGGGTGTTCCTTGTGCTAGGGTCGTTACCAAGAAGTTCTAAGGTCTTGGAGAGTTCTTAGGTCTTGTGGACAAGACCTCACTAGCACTAAGATCAGGGAGACAGCGGGCCGGGAGTCAATAGAGGCTGTGTGTTCATAACAGACAAATTCCAGCCTCCCTGCTGTCTCCAAGAATACTGGTCAGAATGGAATTTCATCCCTTCTCTACCTTCCTTCTCATACGTTCCCTGATTTCAGGAGGCTGAGATAGATAAAGCTGCTCATTTAAAGCCAGTTAAAAGTCTAGACTTTCTGAAGAGACTTACATACTGTCCACATACTCAAATGAGGCAGCATGTTCCTTCCTGCTCGAATGGGCTCTGCAAGCTACAGAGACTCCTTGGAGAGCTGCTGGCTCTGCTGTCCTTGCCTGACCTCAGCAGGAGCCTCCCCGTGCTCTTGCCCCCCAGCTTGCCAGGGTGATGCTGATAGAGCTCTGCATCTGCTGCTGCCCTAACCTAAAGAGGGGCAAACTCACACCAAAGGAGGCCAGAGCCAGTCACGGAATAGACTGCATAGGATCTGGTGCATGGGCCCAGGGATCCAGCCATTGTTTCCTCTCTGCCAACCTCTGGCCACTAATGGGTTCAGAGTAATATAAATTCCCATGTTTACTGGGCTCTGGGTCCTCACATGTCTCAGGGCATGTCTCTTGTATCCTCAGGAACAAGGCCCCACTAAGGGGCTTGAGTGGGGCAGGAGTAGGGAGAATGAATGGGCTCACTTCTAGGCTAATGTTGTCAGCCTGGTCCTACATCAGCACTGTGTGTGGTGAGAATCCCAAGGTGCGTTTCACTATGCAGCTCCTTCAACTTCTAGTCCTCCTGACTCCTCCATCTAGCTGGACCCAGGACCCATCCCTGAGCCCAGGATGGGGGACAAATGCAGTGCCAATTCTCTCTTTTTCTCCTTTCCAACCTTGGACAAAACAATATTTACCTTGCCCATCAACTCATGCAAAGAAAATCTTGGGAAGACAAGGAGGGAGGGAGGACCTTTATCTTAGTGCTAGGCCACCTGGCTCATCCTCCTGGATTTTCACATTATCTCTGTGGAAAATGCATTCTTATCCCCCAAACCACAAAAGAACCCAAACTGTAGCTGGTTGGGTGTTATATTTCAAGTGCTGATTTATTCTCTGCACAGAGGTTGGGCACTCACAGTGGTCAGGCACTCTGCTAGGTGTTGAGGGTACTCAGGAGAATAAAACTCAGCCTGAGCCTTCAAGAGGTGTGACATCGTCAGGGAGAGGAAAACCCCCTAATTCAGTATGTGGAAAGGAGGATGGGAAACACCCCAGAAGAGACAACTGAGGAACACCTGAGCTTTTTAAAGAAGGTTGTATGGCATGGATTAGATTGAGGGAAATGAAGCTGATGAATGGAATTAATTTAAAAAAAAAACAACGCTGCAAGGGACTACTCCTTCTGGCAAAGATGAAGTAACAAAGACTGGATTTACTCTTCTGCCTGAAACAACTAAAAAGTGGCCAAAATACATGAAATAACAGCTCGTCAGGTAACAAAGGATAGGGATACCTGAGAGGTGGGAAACAAGCCAGGTGGATCTTCCAATTGCCCTGGCCTACTGTCTTGAGAGAGTTCCAGCCCAGTTCTCCCGCACAGGGCAGGAGAAACCAGTGGGAGCCCACTGGACCTCCTGAGTTGAGGAGACAGATCTGTAAGTCCATGGAGACTAAAGCCACTAAGGTTTGTAGGACAGAGTGCTAGAGAGGAGAGAGCTGCACAGAGAGAGATGTTAGACACTAGCAGATGGTCGCTTTGTGTATTCAGGTGAATACTGATCAGCACATGCATAGGAGGAAACTACTGAAGGTCAGGCTGAAGAAAGAACCTCCCAAAAGGATTAGAGTTAACAGTGCCCAGTGTTTGTACAAGGCTGGGAATAATATGTGTTCTCATCAGCCATACAGGAGAACCTTATGTGAGGAGACTCACAAGGCATTGGGAGAGTGCACAGAAGACTCTTGCATCAGTGGTGGGGACTAATTAGTTCTGGAGAGAGCCCTGCTCCGGTCCTGTCTAACAAATCTTTAGAGCAAGAACCAAAAGGATCAAACTGCTTCCCAAGTAACTTAACTGAGTCCCAGAACAAAGTTCAAGAATATTTGTAGGAAAACAAAATTATCCAGCACTCGACTAGGTTAAATCACAAAATTTGGAATCCAATAAAAGATTACCAGGTGCTCAAAAAACTGGGAATTTATGATGCATAATGTGGAGATAACTCAATAAATCGAAACCAACGCAGATCTGAAGCAGATGTTAGAATTAGTAGACAAGAACATTAAAACAGTTATTATATAAGTTCCAAAGGTTAAGGACAGACACAGAAGACTTAAAAGCACCTCAAATAAAACTTCTAGAGATAAAAACTACAATTCATGAGTTGAAAAATACACTGGAAGGATTAGCCATAGATTAGACACTGCAGAAAAAAGGTTAGTGAGCTGGAAACAGAAATGAGAATTTAAAAAAAAGTATCATTGTATCAGTGAGCTATGGGATAACTTCAAGAACCTAATATGTGTGTAATGGGAGTCCATAAATAAGAGGGGAGAGAGGTTGAAACAGGAAGAAATATTTCAAGAAATAATGACTAAAAAAATTCTAAATTTTATGAAAACGATAACCCACAAATGGAAGTTCAATGAACGGCAAGCCCAAGAAACATGAATAAAACTATTCCAAAGCTCATCATAATCAAGTAGTGGAAAACAGTGATGGGAAGAAAATCTTAAAACCAGCCAGAGGGAAAAAAAAGAGAAGTTTGGGAACAGAGGAAACAACGCAAGCAAGAGGACAGTGGAGTCACATCTTTAAAGAACTGGAAGAAAATAAACTGTCAACCTAGAATTTTATACCCAATGAATATCTTTCAAAAGTAAAGGTGAAATAAAGACTTTTACCTACATATAAAAGGTGAAAGAATTCATTACCAGCAGACCCATGCTACAAGAAATGTTAAAGGAATCCCTTCAGGCAGAAGGAAAATGATACCAGATGGAAATCTGGATCTACACAGAGGAATGAAGAGCATTGGAAATGTAACTAAATGGGTAAATGTATAAGATTTTGTTCTGATTATTTATATCTCTTTAAAAATAATTGACTGCTTACATAAAATAAAAACAACATAGCATGGGCCTTATAACATATGTATAAATAAACTATATGACAAGAATAGCACAAAGACCAAGAGGGGAGAAATGTAAGTATGCTATTTTAAGGTTCTTATACTGTACCTGAAGTGGCATAATATCACCTGAAGATAGACTGTGATAAGTTAAAGACATCTACTATAAACTCTACAAAAGCACTAAAGTTATAAATCAAATTCAGAGAATTATATCTAATAAGCCTACAGAAAAGATTAAGTGGAATCATCAAAATATACAATTAATCCAAAAGAAGGCAATAAGAGAGGAAAAAAGAAATAAAGAACAGCGGAGACAAATAGAAAACAAATAGCAAGATGACAGACTTAAACCTAACCATATCAATAATTACATTAAATGTAAATGGTTTAAATATCCCAATTAAAGAACATACAAAGCAGATGTAGATTGGATAAAAAAGCAAGACTCAGTTATATGTGCATTGCAAAAATGTGCTTTAAATATAAAGATACAATAAGTTCAAATTAAAAGGATGCAAAAAGATACTCCATGCTAACACTAATTAAGAGAAAGCTGGAGTGGCTTTACTCATTTCAGACAAAGTGGATTTCAGAATAGGGACCATTACCAGGGATAACAAAGTTCAAGAGGACACAACAATCCTGAATATTTATGTACCTAATAGTAGAACTTCAAAACACATGACACAAAAATTGATAGAACTATAAAGACAAATAAATAAATAAGCTATCTTTGGAGATTTTAACATCCCTCCCTTAATAATTGATAGAAGGTGTAGACAGAAAATCAAGAGGAATATAGGAGATTTTAAGAATGCTATTGACCAATTTGACCTAATTGATACTTATAGAGCACTCTGCCAACAACAGCAGAATACACATTCTACTTATGTGCATATGGAACATATACCAAGGTAGACCATACTCTGGGCTACAAAATAAGTCTTAATAAATTTAAAATGATTCATTTCTCTAAAGTATGTTTTCCCACAGCAAAAGACATTACAAGAAAATAAAACTACAGATCAATAGCTCTCATGAACATCAATAGAAAAATTCTAATAAAAATTTTAGTAAATTGAATCGATATATAAAAAGGACAATATGTCATGACCAAGTAGGATTTATTCTGAGAATGCAAGGTTGGTTTAACATAAGAAAAGTAATCAATGTGATTCACCATATTAACAAACTGAAAAGAATACCTGTATGTTTATCTCGTAAATTCAGGAAAGACATTTGAAAATTCAGTATTCATTCCTCATAAAAACTCTCGGAAAATTAGGAATAGAAGAGAGCTTCAATTTGATAGAGGTTATTTTTGAAAAACCTGTAGCTAACATCATATTTAATGGCAAAAGACTGAATGCTTTTCCACCAAGGTCAGGAACAAGAAAAGAATGTCTGCTCTTACCACTTATATTCAAAATTATACTGGAGGTTCAAGCCAGTGCAAAGACAAGAAAAGAAATAAAACGCATCCAGATTGGAAAGGAAGAATTAAAACTATCTTTTATTCGTAGATAACAAAATTGTCTAGAATCTACAAAACAGCTACTAGAACTGATAATTAATTTAGCAAGTTATTAAACATATGCAAAATTAATATGCAAAGTTCAATTTTATCTCTATGTAATATTAATGAGTGGTCAGAAATTGAAATAAATACCACTTATAATAGTACAAATATACAAAATACTTAGAGATAAATCTGACAAAAATATTCAAGGTGTATACACTGAAAACTGCAAAACATTTCTGAGAGAAATGAAATAAGACCTAAATGGATATCCCATGTTTGTGGTTTCAGAGACTTGATGTCATCAAGATGTCAATTCTTCCCAAATTGCTCAATTCAATCCCAGTCATAATTTCAGGTGGAATTTTTATAGAAATTGAAAAGTTGATTCCAAAATTCATGTGGAAATAGAAAGGACCTAGAATAGCCAAAATAACTTTAGAAAAAGAACAAAGTTGTAGGATTAATACTACTGTAGGATTAAAACTTATTATAAAGTTCTCATAATTAAGAAAGTGTAGTAATGGTGTCAAGGTCAACAAATAGATTAATGGAACAGAATAGAAGATCCAGAAGTAGGATCAGCATGTGATCTATAGTGACCCAAAGCAGGTCATTGTTTGCCTGTGTTTGGCAGAGTGGCACAGGGTGGGAGGGAGGGGCACATAGAAACATGCAAGCTTTTGGAAGTGATGTGTATATTCATTATTTTTATTATGGTGATATTTTTATGAGTGCATACATAGGTGAAAACTTTTTAAAAGGTATACTTTAAATATACACAGTTTACTGTATGTATCAGTTATACCTCAATAAAGCGGTTAAAAAACCCTACTGCATCTTTTAAAAGTTACACAGAAGGAAAGGAATAGTGGAGTAATAACTGACATCTGCAGAGAATTAGGAGTTGCCAGCACTGTGCTGGGCATCTTCTCTCTATCCACCTCTCCTTATTTTATCCTCATAACAACCTTATGGGGTAGGAGCTGTTCTTAGCCCCTTTTTACAGATGAGGAAACTGAGGCTCCTTAACTTTCCCCATGCTACACAGCCAGGCTCTGAACTATTGTGCGTGTTAATTACTTCTCATGTCTTGTCATTGTCATTCGCAGGGAAAAATCCCAGAAGAATCTGCAACTGAGGAACTTTTATCAACAGTCCAAAGTGGAAATACTGGTGAAATGGAGGTAGGGCTTGCACAAGGCCTCGCATGGCAGATTTCGTTGGCCCCCAGGCGGTTCTCTCCTCACCGCCTGAGTCTTTCTGTGCCCTCCCCCGCTCCAGATGTCCTTGTCTCTCCAGCAGTTCATATATGCCATCCTCTCTGGAACCTCCACAAAGCCTCCCTCGATTAACTCTCACTCTACTGTGACTAATCTTTTATTTTTATCTCCCTTGCACAAGTTGGACCTAGAAGTTATACTTTGTACATCAATTATTTGCAACAATTTCAGTAAATAAGAGTTTTTCTCTTCCCATTGTCCAGAGGGAAAACATGTTGGAAGGGCAAAACATTTGTAAGAGTTTTCTCCTACTATATGTATCATATACACATATGTACACTCATATACACACCTGTATGTATTGTATATCATTCATGTGCATTGCAGGTTCCAGTAACTGCTCCCTTCTATTTCAGATTCAGGCTGAGGGGTGGTAGCATCTTCCACTAGTTGCTAACCCTGGGCCACTTCCTCAGCCTTTGTTTGTTTCCTTTCACCCTGCCCACACCTTCACACATGGTCCTTGTTAAACATGCATTGTCCACTCCGTTGGAGTGAGCTGTCTGTTTCCTCCTAGAACCTGAGGATTCAGGTAGAGATTGGCAGGGCTCTGTGGATGCTGATCCGGATTTTGAACTTTTCTTAAGGATCAGAGGAAGGCTTTGAAGGTTTTAAGTGGGAGGTTGTCACTATCAGACTTCCTCATTCCCCAATGATGAGCACAGTTCGGAACTTTCAGTGGATTCCCACGTGCCTCTTGTTGGTAGGTCAACTGATTCAACGTGAGTCAGCCTGAGAAGTCTAGAGAACCCTTGAGGGGGCAACAGGGAGAGGAGGTTGAGTCATCTCCATGGAGGTCCTGGGAAAAATTCACTGAACCCTAATCCTAGACGTTAGAGATCCGAGAGAGAGACAGATCACTGTCCCCTTCTCCTCTCCAGATGCCGACCAATTAAGAAGGCTACACTGAAGTCAGCTAGGGATAAAAATACCACTTTATTCACTGAAGCTGAACTGGAGAACAAAGCTTGGACCTGTAACTCAATGGGTTTCCTATTTCCCCTACTGAATTAGATGTACATACCTGGCTGCTGGTAAGCCTCACCCTTGGGGCAGGGTCTGTCCTCCCAGGCCAAGTGCTAGAGGAGAGGAGGATGCATGTAGGCTAGGAGCAGGATGTGCTGCTAGAGAGAGAGTGCTTAGCAGGCACAGGGTCCACTTTCTGAATCTCACTTTAGTGTGTGCTGTGGGGCCCCTACCCACATCCCTCTGGCACTGCTCATTCCTCAGCACTGTGAGGACAGGGACTTCAAGTGCCCAGTCTTTTTCGAGTGCTGTGCCTACAGGCAAGTCATAATCTTTGGGGAGCAGCCATCAGCCAATGACTGAAGACATTTGGAGAATCAGTCCCCTAGCTCCTTTGCCTCTTAACGTGGCACAACTCCGATTGTGTCCCCACAGTCTCCCAGAGATCTCAGCGGGACTGGGTCCAGTGGTACCCACTCGTTAACCATTCTGCGTTGGTGTCCTTCTCTTCCTTGCCTCACTTCCCCACTCCCCTCGTGGAATTTCCTGGCATCACTCCCAAGTAAACTTAGCTCACAGCTTGCTTCTGGGGAACAGACGTCAGGGTGCTCACTGCTTAGCCCTGGGGAAGAGAGAGCGAGGCAGGCAGCAGAGGGGAGCAGCTTTCTCTCAGTATTTCTAAGAGGGTAGCTGTTCTTTAGGGACCCAAACAAGTATGTAGAGAGGGGACAGGATGATCCCTGCTGCAGTAGATGTACTGGAACCCCAGAGGGCATCTGGATCAACAAAATGGATTGATCTCCCACGTTTATCTCCTCTGGAAAAAAACACTGAAATGACAGTAAAGGAATAAGAAGGGCACAAATGCACAAGGACGAGACGGGGGGGGAGATATGGGAAGAGGAGCACTTTAAAAATGTTTAGAAAGAAGAAAATCGATGGAGGAGTTTACACTGGCTTAGCACAGCGGAGAAAGGTGAAAGTCAGACACCATTATGAGGCAAGGGACCAGAGAAAAATGTATGACTTCTCCACGTATATCCACAGAAAGCTGAGGGCTTGGAGCTTCTGCGGAGGCAGTGGAGGACCAGGCTGAAAGGAGGGGTCTGTTTGAAAGCCTGCTGTGGAGAGTTGGGACTCTAGATTCCCTGCAGACGGCACTTATTGCCAACAATACGGCAAGTGAAACAACCAGATGACTATTCCCTGGAGAGATCAGACAGAAGCAGCTCCAAGTCCAGGTTCAGCCTGCACTGCAGGAGGTTGCGTAATGGAGAAAGACAGAGACTAGATGAATAAGTAGAATTCTCCATTTCAAATGGAGGAACCCCTGCCCTCTCCTCCTGCCTTGTCTCCAAATACTAGAAGCCAGGTCTTTGTATTAGTTTTTTATCGCTGCTATAACAAATTATCACAAACTTAGTGGCTCAAAACAACATAAATTTATTATTTTACAGTTCTAGGGGTCAGAAACCCAAAACAGGTCTTAAAGTGCTAAGATCTAGGTGCAGGCAGGGTCCTGTTCCTTCTGGAGACCCTAGGGGAAAATCTGTTCCTTTGCCTTTGCCATCTTCCAGAAGCCACTTGCATTCCTTGGCACGTGGCCTCTTTCTGCATCTTCAAAGCTGGTAGCATAGCATCTTCCAATCTCTCTCTGACTCTGACCTTTCTGCCTCCCTCTTATAAGGACCCTTATGATTACATTGGGCCTACTCAGATAATCCAAGATAATCTCCTTGTCTCAAAATCCTTAATTTAATGACATCTGCAAATTCCCTTTTGCCTTGTAAAGTAACATTCACAAGCTCTGGGGATTAGGCCACGTACACCATTGGGGGCCACTGTTCTGCCTATCATAGTCCCTCATGCAGGAGATCGGAGAACTTAATTCCCCCCAAAACCTTACAGGCCCAAAGGAAAGGCCTCCAGATAGTCACTCAATGAAATGCTGTGTCTGCCCCATCAGTGCATGCAGTGCCCCAGTTAGCTAGTGCCTGTTGAGTTTTGCTCCCTACCAAGCACTGTCAACTTTAGGAAGCTAGAAATGTGCTCCAGTGATAAAAGAGCATGAACCAGGAACAAAGAAAACAACAAAAAGACCTAGAATTTAAGAAACAGGAGCTGCAAAGCCAGAAAGCAAGTGGTACAGCAGGCAGGTTGAGCAAGGCTGGACCAGAGAAGGGTGAGAAAAAAACAAAGTCATAGATTGTCTCAAATTCCTGGTTGCTTGGAAAATAATATTGATAAACACTTGGCACACCTGACAAAGCATGTGAAAAAATTAGGAAACCAAGCAAATCAAAACAAAGTGCACAAATGAGAACATAGTCATATTACATTTCTTTGCTCAGCAACAATGATACATACATATTCATAATAATGTAAATACCTACTGATTTAACCCTGAATTGTGCTGTAATTATATTGAGGGGTTGGGAGAACGGATATGAGGAAGAGGGTTACATCTACCCAGCACATCAGTATCCAACAGGACATTTAAAAAACTGACGAATTAAGAAATAACAGCATAAGCATATATTCAGAAATATAGAGGTAAATACCAAAACAAATGAGCAAGTTGAAAGTGCTAGTCAATGGGGAGAGGGACTTGGGGGGGCAGAGGACTCCTGATTTTCTTTGTAAGTTTTTAGCGTGAATATTATTTTAATTTTTACTATATGCATGTATTACTTTGATTTAGAAGAACTCTGAGAAGGATCTCAGGATGAATCATCTTCCTCAAACTGAGGAACATCTTCTTAGATGCCCCTAAAATGAGACTGGAAGGACTCAGTGCTAACTCCCTGGGTGGCTGTGGGTTTGGACCTCCCCGGGCTCCACCTCACCACAAAACTGCCCGAAAAGTCCCAAGATCCAAAAATTCTTGTAGCACAAAGTCATAATGAAAACACTTTTGGGGACAGAGGTATTTTGCTTATGGAATTAATATGTCTGTTATACTTCCATGCTCTAACCTCTACCCAGTGATGCAGTTAAAATATGGATCCTTGGGGCTGGCCTGGTGGTGTAGTGGTTAAGTTTGCACGTTCTGCCTCGGTGGCCTGGGGTTCATGGGTTCGGATCCTGGGTGCAGACCTAGCATCTCTCGTCAAGCCGTGCTGTGGCGGCGTCCCACATAAAGTAGAGGAAGATGGGCAGAGATGTTAGCTCAGCGACAATCTTCCTCAAACAAAAAGAGGAGGATTAACAACAGATGTTAGCTCAGGACCAATCTTCCTCACCCACACACACACAAATATGGGTCCTATATCAAAGGCCATCTGAAACCATTCATTTTCTGACTTCTGTGTGAAAACTTGTTTCAATCCTTTTATCAATCTTGAATATTTCATTAAGAACATCCTCTTAAAACTAGGCCTGGCTCAGGACGATTTGTTTCAGGTGAGACAGTTACCTCTGTCCTAGGAACAGGATAGCGTAGAGATGACACATCCACTCTGTTAAATTACAGACAATGAATAGGATCACCATTTGGTTCCTCCTCTCTCCTTGCTCTAGGACATGGAAAAACTCAGTCAGGTGTCCACTGTGATTGATACAGATTACTATATCAGCAATACGAGTTTGGCGTCCATCTCGCCACCAGAGGAGACCAGCCACTTCCGCCCCATCTACAGGGGAGCCTCAGCCGCTTTTTGTATTCAGCTGTTTTGTATTGATGAGACACACGAAGCAAGGCAAGTACTGTCTGCATGTTGTCTGTCACGGTAAGACTTTCTCATAGCATTAGTGGCTCAACATTTTAATCTTGCAGAGCCAGTGGTTTCCAAACCTGGCTGTACATGATAATCTCCTGGGGAGTTTTTTAAAAGCACAGATTCCTGGGCCCCATTCCCAAAGATTCCAGCCCATAAAATTTGGCTAAGGCCCACAGAACTAGGCTGCCCAGGTCTGCCTCACCTATGTAACAGTTGGGCATATGGAAAATTATCACTTATGTAACCATATGCTGCTCCCCATTCTCTCAAATTTGCATTTTTGGGGGACTTTGGATTTAGGTTGCTGCTTGTCTGTAGTCTTTTGGTTGTAAGTAACAGAAAATTCAACTGAAACTGGTTTTGAGAAAATGGAATAATTGTCTCACATAAGGAGAAGTCCAGTGGTAGGACTGATTTTCAATATGGCTTGATCCAGGACTTAGATAACCCAATCAAGGACCAGGTTTCTCTCTCTACCTCCCAGCTCTGATTCCCTGCTGCTGGCCCTGTTCTCCGAGGAGCGTCCCCATCGGGGGCCGAGAGAGCGGACAGTGGGCTTGGGCTCTGGAGCAAAGGCTAGTGAGGAGGACAGTGTGGAGGACAGCTTTCCAGCCAGAGCCCCTTTGGGCCTGATGGGGTTGTGCGCTCATTCCTGAGCTGATGGCATGGGCCAGCCTGGCCATGATGACAGTTTAGTCCCTTGCCTCATGCTCCCACCTCAACCTGGGGTTGGAGGCTCACCCAAACATAATCTGAGAGGGAGGTTAGTGACACACTGCACAATAATCCAGGCCAGCTGCTGGAAGGAGGAGGCGTGGTGGGTGCCGGGTAGACAAAGCCCAGGTGCCCACCAGACCACTCAGTCCCCTCGCTTCCTGTCCCTCCAGAGCACCGTGTGTTCAGTGCTTGCTGCCCCCTGTGATCTGGATGTGGGCTCCTGCCCTCAATGCCCAGATTGCACATCTCCTTTAGGATGCCCACCTACTCCACCATTTTGTCCGCAGAACCATCTTGAAGAGGAAAAGATTGGCCCATCTTGATAGACTGGAAGGTTCTGGAGTACCTTTTAGAAGACCAAGAGCACTGCTGGACATTTCCTTGTTAGAGGGTGTATTTAAACACATTCCCAGTCTCGCAGCCTAGCTTAGAACCATGTTTTACTTGTACTTTTTTCCTCTTAAGTTTTTTATTTCATTGGAAATCTTGGAGGTTGGAAAAGGAAATATTTTTTATTCTAATTATATTGTAGATGTCTAAAAAGCCTGTAAACCCTTCTAGATTTCTTGTGTATATTTATTTTCCCCTGTGCATTCAGATACGATTGTGCTTAGAAAGTGATTTTTGAATTTTCAAATGAAATTCGATGATCAAATATAGTTTGCCTGTGAATATACATCTGCAGCTGGTCAGAAAATCTTCTGCATGTAAAAGAGAAGAAGATGAGAGTAGCTTATAATGTGCCCTTGCCTCCCCCCAGCTCTTCCGAAAAGGAAGGAGGAGATCATGTCCACAGAATGACCATCTTGCTTTTTGAATGTGCAGAGGTTATCAATTGCTATAATAGTACCTTCAGTTCTAGAAACATACTTTATTACTGACACTGAAGCTTATGACTTCTACAACCGATAAATGCTCAGCTAGACACAAATTCAGACTGTAGGTGGCTAATCACTGCCCAAGGGGGAGAGAGCCATAAATCTCTTTAAATATACACCGATGCTGCATTTGCTTGCAGATCAGTGACTGTGCTTACTGTCTTGTTTTATAGGTCGCTGGACTTTATGAATTTTGTTTTCAGTCTTTTTCCTGTAAGTACGTGCTGAATTTTGAGTAGTATAATTGGTTTTGTAAGCTAGAAAAATCATATAAGAGTAAATGCCATATTCATTATCCAAACATTAAAATGCTATGAATGTTGAGGTTTGAACTCCTTCTCTGCTCCGAAAATAGGGTTGAATAACATGTCATGAACTCTTAAAAATAGAAAGTATTGTCATTTTCGATAATTTTTCTGTCATGCTGTTTCAATAGTTTTCTTTCAATGCATAATTTCTTTTAGAGATAGCTTTACCAGTGTTTTATTAGGATCAAATTATTAATAGAATGCTGGTAGTACATGAAAATGTCAGAAATTATACTAAAGTGAATTAGACTGTTCTCTTACTTTATGGCTTTTGTTGACTCAAAGAATTCTGAAACCATTATATTGCTTTCTGAGGGTAGGAAAGTGGGAGCTTGTGGTTGATTTTCTGGTTGGCATTGCCTGACACAGTGCTTGACGTGTAGCCGGGGCTCAACCCAGGTCAGCTCCTCTGGTGAACGGGCCCAGCAAACATTCAAGTGCAGTCAAGCCGCGCCCCGTTCAGAGTGTCCCGGCCTCTTCCTCCATTCTGGTTTCATTGCTAAGGTCAAGGGTTGGGGATTCTAACCAACCTCTTATCACTTTATTGGAGGGAAGAAAGTGGGGAGGGAAGACAGTTGAGGAACAAAATGGATTTTGACAAAGACTTTTTCCATGGCTGGCCTATCAGTTCTGTAAAGTCAACAACTATGCTGCTTCGGGGGGCTAATTACAAGCAAAATACCTATTGTCTTATTTTTCCTTGATACTCTATAAACTGAGACAAAAAATAAATATGGTTTAATTATGTTACTGAAAGCTATGTGATCATAGATTGTACTTCCGCATTTTGTTAATGTAATGAAGGCCATTGTAGTTTTTTGGATTAACTTTAAGCCATTATCGTAAGGCAAGGTAGATGGCCCTGAGGTAGAATTTACAAGGCTGCTTTCCCTCAGAGATGTCCCAAAGTAACCTCACTAAGTTTAATTCATTCCTATTTTGAAGTCCAAGTAAAGGTAGATCTTCGGCTTACAAAAAGCAAAGCTGGCTTTACAAAGGTAAAAGACATGTTTACTTTTTAATTCTATTTTATATGGGTAGACAGGAAAAAAATACCTCCATTGCTTCATTCTTAATCCTTCAAATCCAAGTTGAAGCAACTCATTATAGTCTCCTCCTCCCAAAGGAAGCCCACCGAGACTTGGCACCCAATCCTTATTTTCAGCTTGAGTATTTTGACAACCTGTCTATAAAGTTCCCCGAAAGGAGCTGTATTATTTTGCTAGAAAGAAGGAAGGTAAGGTTGAACAATGATTCACTCCTTTGGGTTGCAGAAATGTCCCCAGGGTTTTGGATTAGCACAAGTAATGCCTTCACAGGGTTCAGGAGGAGGCGAGGTCCCAAAGGGACAAATTAGCTGTGGGAAGAGCAGGCTGTTTCTGCAGGCACCTGGCAGAGGGTCAAGTGAGATGTGTGGAGCAGAGGCGGTCTAGGGCAGCACTGTCGGGTAGACATTGAATGCGAGCTGTATAAATAATTCTAAATGTTCCGACAGCCACAGTAAAAAAAAGTAAAAAGGAGCAGGTGAAATTAATTTTAAAAACTATATTTTATTCAACTCAGTACATCCAAAATGTAATCATTTCAACATGTAATTAGTATGGAAAATTATTAATGAGATATTTTACATTTGTTTTTCTCAGTTTTTGAAGTCCAGTGTAATTTATACTTACAGCCCCTCTCAATAGAGGCACTAAATTTTCATCAGAAATACTTGATCTGCATTTGGATTTCATAACGTTTACAGCTGCATAAGTAGATTCATATACCCAAGTTGTTCCAAACATTCATAAAACTTTTCCAATACCTGAATTGAGTATCAGTGTTTAAATTCCAAGTAATTAAAGTGAAATAAAATATAAAATTCAGATCCCCAGTCTCACTAGCCACATTCCAAATGCTCAGTGGCCAGATGTGGCGACCGGCCACCGTAGTGCGCAGCGTAGATCTGGAGGTAAGTGGCTGCCATTGGGACACGCGGATCCTCCCCTGTCTGCTATTTAAACCCACTACCCAGGTTAAACATGTCCTTAGATCTGTTCACCCAAATGGGATCACGTCATGATAAAACACACAGACATCTGTTCATGTAGAGCCACAGGATTTTAGAGCAGAAAAGTCCTGGAGCAGCACCCTCTCACCTCACGGAGGAGGGGACTGTGGCTGATACAGTATCACTTAGTAAGCCCATGGCTTTTGCTGCGACATCATGCTGTCTCATTTACTCCTGGATGCAAGTGAATTTGCAAATGCAAATGTCCTTAGTTTAAGAATCTACTTCCCCAAAGACCTATACGGAGTGGGTCCCATTGTTCACAATACTCATTTATTCAGGCTTCAGTCAGACTTGCAGATATTTTCTCCTTTTTCTTGCAGTTGCTTATCTGCTTGAATTTTATATGATTGCTTTCCAAATCCTAGGAAAGTTTAACTTGAATCACCTCTCATTTACACATTCTACTCCTGTTTTCTTTAGTGCTTTACAGCGGGAATTTGTTTAGCTATAAGTGATTTCTGATTCTCTTTCCACGTGTCCTGGTCTCCAATCATGTTAGGACAAGAACTTCTGCATCATTTCTGTGCCGCATCTCACCCCTGAGTTTGTCCTCATCCAGAACTTCGTGAAACTGATCCCCTTCAACAACTGCACCCTGGAGCAGGATCTCTACGTCTTCCACCGGGCTGGGTTGCTCAAGTAAGCAGATCTTCCACGGGCTGGGTTGCTCAAGTAAGCAGACTCACGTTTGGCCAAAAGACAATCCGCAAAGTTAAAAAAAGAGAAGGGAATAAAGAGCTCCCTTCCATTTTAATTTAATGATTTACTTTGAAAATTGTCTTACTGGTGGAGGGCTTGATCAAGTGATTTTAACCAGTATTTTTAGGGAAAGAGTCATATTGAAAAGTTACTTGTCCAGTAGTATTAGAACATAATATAACCCCACAATAATCAAAACAATACCATGTTGACAGAGTCTATGGATGGAACAAAGTAACACAAGAAAGAGTTCCACCACAGACCCCAATATAGTAAGCATTTAGTGTGTGTGAAGGTGTGTATAAACATACATGTATGACAAGATTTGTGTTACACCAGTGGCAAGAGAAAGGATTATTCTGTAAGTGGGGTGGGACAAAATAAAGATAGAGACGTTCTTCATTTTCTACAGTAAAATAGATTTCCAGGTGATTGAAGAGTGAAATGTAAATACTGAAAACATAAGAAATTAGAAAATATGTCTACAGTACTAGGTTCTGTGCCAGATTCTACAGATATGACAGTGAACAACATACAGATGTGTTCCCTGTCTTTTCAAAGCTTATCAACACTCACATAATTGTAAACCTGTGGCCGTGATGGGCGTACCAGCAATGGGCATGTGGTACCATGAATATGTGTCGTCAGGAGGTTGAGCCCAGCCAGAGGAAGCTTTCCTGAGGAAGAACGTTGAGTTAGCAAGAATGAGACATCACTTTTGATCAATTGGCAAGAATTAAAACATAGAAAGCTTCAATTCTAATGAGACAAATGTAGCACTGGTCAGGATGTAAATGGATGTGAAGTTTCAAAGGATGGTTTGGCCAGAACACTAAAGTAGTTCATATCTTTTAACCCTTTAATTCCACTCCTAGAAATATATTCTAAGACACTTGTTGCAGAGATGCAAACAAAAATTTATGTATGAGGATTAAAGAATATTGGAAATACTCTAAATGTCCAACAGTAGGAGAATGTTTGAATATTCATGGTACCTATATGAAGGAATCTATACATTAACAATTCATTTAAATAGTTAATGATTGGTAAATGCCCAGAAATGTAATGTTAGGCTAAAAACATATCAATATATAAAACAGCACTTAAATATGACCTGAATTTCTAAAGGAAGAAAAACATGTGAATAAAATAGACTAAGAGGAGACATGCAGATGTAGCGGGTACTGTGGTGCGCCACCCAGACCCCTCTCATTCAGGACCGAAGAACTCAGTTCCCAACTGCGGGACATGCAAGTGCCAACAGCTCGAAGCTGGGTCCCCCACAAAATAGATTGCGCAGGACTGAAGAGAAGGGCTTTGCCTGAGGTCTGCCCCTCCCAAGGGCAGCCTCCATCCAATGACTGGTCTGGGTGTGGGGAGAGGGAGGGGAGGCAGTATAAAGGGCCAGCAGCTCCCTGCTGCAAGGAGGGGCAACTCGGAGGAGGCTTCCCAGGGCCAGAACTCCCCCTGGAATCAGCTGGGCGTTTGCGGTGACCCCATTGCTCGCAGCCCCACTTCTCCCTCTGCCTCGTCCTGCTTCCCCACAGATGTGGAGGGTCTCAAGAGCCCACACTGATAAGCCTCCAGCATGCAGATCTCTGTGCGAGGCTGCCTCCCAGGGAAGCTGGCCTGCAGCGCTGGAGATGGTCAATGGTTGCCTGTGGGTGGCAGCAGGAGCATCATGGATGATCTTTAATTTCCTTCCTGACATTGCCTAAATTTTGGAATTTTTCTATACCAGGCTTGAATACTGACTGGGATTCCTTTGCTGGCAAGTAGTATAAACCTGTAAAACTGGCTTAAGTCACTGGAGAATTTATTAGTGCATACAGTGAAGTGAAGAATCCAAGGGCAATGCTGGTTTCCTCCGTAGTTTAATCAGAAAGCCAGCCCTGCCGGATCTGTCTCTGAGACGGTAGCCCTGTCTCAGACCTGTGCTCCCTCAGTGGCTGCAGGATGGGTGAAGTGGCTTTACACCTTTTATCACTCCAAGTCCAATAGGAAAAGAGTAGTGGGTATGCTTCTTTTCAGAAGCCTGGACACAGAAGTCTATTTGCATCTCATTGGCTCAGGGTGGGTCCTGTGCGGACCTTGAACCCATCACTGGGCCAAAGACTGCTGGTTGGCATTGTTTATGTCTGTTCCCAAAGCTCAGGAGTTGGTGGGGGAGGGATGCATTGCCAGACACAGATCTGGGAGCATTGCTGGAGAAATGAGCAATGGAGCTGCTCCCCATAGCTATGTTTCAGGACAGGACCATCTTGATCAAAAGGAAGTATATCTCTTATAGAAATAATATCAATAGCTTGCATTTTCTATAATTTAACTTTTTCAAGCTGTCTTACACATATAGTCTTATTCTTACAAAATATTATGAAGCTCATCAAACTGTGCATTTTAAATTGGGGCAATTTTATTGTGTGTAAATCAGACCTGAGTAAAGTTGCTACAAAATCTTACAACATAGGGATTAGTAGAGTAGTTTCAGAGACCTTTCTCTATAATTGACATTTTGGTCTTTTAAGTGAACCTTTGAGAAGCATCCTAAATGATCACTTTATAAGTGGAGACTAATTAAATGAGTTTTGGCATATTCATTCAGAACATTACTCGGCAGATTTTGAAAAAATAAAAACAGATCTATATATGTCCTGTATGGAATGATGTCTTGGATGGTGAGAAGAGCAAGGAGCCAAACAGTAACAGTAATAGTGATAACAGTAATGATAGCTAACACTCATGGAGGGTTCCTAGTGTTCCAAGCACTTTCTTGATCACTTTCCATATATCAATATTCACAGTGACTTTATTAGTGAGCTACCATTATTATCATCCCTATTTTACAGATAAGGAAATAGACTCAGAGAGGTTAAGTAACTAGTCCAAAGGGCACACAGCAGAAAGTGGCAGAACTAGAATTGGAACTGAGGCAATTAGCTACCAGAGCGAAATTATAACCACCTCACATATTGCTTCTCTGTACTGTGTTTCAGTGTAATCCTATTTGATCTTTTAAAAAGTGTACATATATATCAGTTAGCACTTAGGCTAAGCTGTTGTAACAGAAAGACCCTAAAACACAATGGTTTGAGCCAGAAAGAAGTTCCACCTCTATCACACAGCAGTCCAGACATGAGCAGGTGGTCTAAGGAAAGGAGCAGCTTTTTCCCCCGTGAGGTCGTCCAGAGACCCAGGTTCCTTCTCTTCTTGCCCCGCCATCCCATAGAGCAAAGGTATCTGCCTAACGACTGCAGAGTCAGGGGCTCCGTGAATTTGGATGGGAAGAAAAACTACATGTTGATCTTACGAACGTCTAGTTGAAATTTAGTGTCCTTCCGTTGTGAATGGAGGCAGCAAGCCTCACAAGTGTTAGCAGAAACCATGACTTTGTAACCAGGTGAAATCATGGATGTTTTCATATCATGTTTTGTCTGTTGCAGATAACTCAAAATATGTATGCTCATCCTACTTAGAAATTTCAGTAGCAATTTTATTCTCAACCAGAACTTGTTATTTAATGCATTAATAAGGAGATACAGATATTACTTTAACACGTTTTTTAACATTTTGATAACTGTATTTTAATGTAATTTGTTATCTTTTATTTTACACACTTAAAAACATTAGTCTAAGGAGGGGTCCCTAGCATCAGCAGGCTGTCAAAGGGGCCCGTGGCACACAAAGGTTTAGACCGGCTGCCAGAGTAGGCTCTTGTCCCCCTTGTGATGGGAGCTGGCTCAGAGCACCACAGCCACATTTCAGCTGGCGGGGAAGGGTGGAAAGAGGACGGAGGGGAAGCACTTTCCTCTTATGGGCTCGCATCACTTCTGCTCGTGTCCTGTGGTCAGGAAGTTGGTTGCATGGCCCTACCCAGCTGCAAGGGTGTGCCCGGTGGTGTAGAGGAAGACATCCTTCCAAACCCACATGTTTGTCACCATCAGGGGATGTCCCATTTGTGGATGTGTCAGTGGGCCATTGTTTTCTAGACAAAGCTTAGATCTTTAATTCTTTACTTTAAATTAAATTCTAAGCACAGAGATCTTTTTAAAGAAATCACACATTTAAAGTTAGAAGTCAGGGCTGGCCCGGTGGTGCAGGGGTTAAGTGCCCACGTTCTGCTTTGGCGACCCAGGGTTCGCTGGTTTGGATCCTGGGTGTGGACATGGCACCACTTGGCAAAAGCCATGCTGTGGTAGGCGTCCCACATATAAAGTAGAGGAAGATCGGCACGGATGTTAGCTCAGGGCCAGTCTTCCTCAGCAAAAAAGAGGAGGATTGGCAGCAGTTAGCTCAGGGCTAATCTTCCTCAAAAAAATAAAAAATAAAGTTAGAAGTGGTGGTTTTTCCTGTCAGGATTGCTCAGTTCCTAAGAGGAGTATGATGTGGAGAACTGCCGTCTCCCCTCTGCTCTTGTAAAGCCAGACCCCTGCGCCCCTTCAGATGGCTGAACAGGGCCGGGTGACAGCCTGGATGCCCCGACCTGAAGACGCAACTACAAAACATGGAGGAAGGAAAGATTCACACTGTTACATCCAGAGATATCTGAATTTGTTAAACAAGGAGTTTGAAGGAATGTCATATCTCACAAAATGAAGTTCAGAAATGTGAGTGTGGGAGTGACCTCAAAGAAGACCAACTGTCACCTTGGCTTGGTCCCTGGCAGTTTTACTGGAGGTGGCACCACCTTCACAGGGCCTTCCCTTTCTGCCCGTGGTTCCCCACAGCATTCTCTAAAGGTTCCAGGGTGTTTTCAGAGGCATTTCCCTGCACTGGCACCTCAGCCAGGGTGCAGGAGGGGTCCAGGTGCCGCCCCAGCGTCCTTTATAAGCCAGGGGCCTGAGTGGGGAAGCTCTGTGGCATGCACCTTGGTGTCTCAGGGACTCACACTAGGCTTTTAGTCAGTGAGGCCTTACAAGGGTTTGTTTGTTCCTGATGTCAAA